TCTCTTGTTTTTTTATAACTATAATGATCATATAAAGATGTGCCTTTACCTCACTGGGCTGAGGTTATCAGAGCCTCTCAGTCTTTCAGGAGAGAGCTCTCTAAAGCTCTCCCCCCGCGGCCGCTTACACAGTAAATTCCAATGTTAATAAAAGCACACAGAAGCTGTATATACGTTTTTTGGGAGTTTGATTTATTTTTAAATTAACACTAATACAAAATTAAAACCTATAATTGCACACTAAAACCATTATTTCAAAAAAAGAACTATTTCACATAAACCTCTGGTTTTTAATGGGGCTGGGGCAGTTCAACTTGATTTTGGGGGCGGGGGGTGCCATAGTTTATGGGCGCTGTAATATAGGCGTAGTTCTGTTAGTATAAGATAATAAGATGTACTTTGTTGATCCAAAATCGGGAAATTGTGTTATGAAATAAAAAGAAATATTTATTTTTAATTTCTAACTTTTTTTTTTTTTTTTTGGCGCCCCCCATGGGTTGATGCGCCCTTAGCATTCACCTATACTGCCTATGCCAAGGGCTGGCCCTGTGTAAATATAACCTATCTATGAATTAGATCAAATGTAAAAGTCAGTCGAATTAGTGTTGATACTGCAAGGAGACGTATTGTGTGAAGAGAAATTGAGTATGTTGTTTAATTGTTGATATATTTATGATCCACGTCAAGTATTCAGTTTCGGCTGCATTTCTTCCAGTTTTTCAAAAGGTCCTCTCATCAGGGCTCTATAAATAAAGAACTACGGCAGATCTGTAATATGTAATGCAGCCGAACCGTGCCGTTATGTGATGACCTTCAAAGAGAAAAGCAAGAACACTCGGAATTAAGTATTATTTTATTCTTTTAAAATGTTTTCCGGATTTCATATCATATAAACACCAAATCCCAGCATGCATTGCGGCTAAAACATCCGATCTGCGAGCTTAAACCATAGCTGAGGATCTTGGGTAATCGCTTGAAATGCCTATGTCTGTTTCCGGTTATTTTTATTTTGAAATTCAGTTCCTGACGGACGCCAAAAAAGCCCGAGATTATGGAATTAAACCAATAAATAAAAGCAAGGATAATTGTGTGTTATTGGTGAGTAAATAACAGTGTGTTATTTTGAAAAGAATAACAAATTAGAAGGAAAAAAAGATTTAAAAAATACAGATTTCAGTATTCTGAGGCTCTGAGCCCCATTTATGTTCCTCACAGACGGCAACAAAAGTCCGAAATTATACGATTTAAAATAAAAGCAATAATTGTGGCTTGATATTGAGTAAGAACATGTTTTTATGAACCACACAGCTTCCGGTCTTCCACGACCCGACCGGAGAAAAATAACACGAAATGCCATGAGACTGGGTTGAATGAGTACAACTCGATGCAAATTAGCATTTAGCTACAAGACTTAACCCAGTGCATCTGGTCCTTGTACATAAGTGTATGTTCCAATTCTAATGTGATTCCCTTATTAAATAAAGTAAACTAAGCTACACCGAACTAAACTCTCTTTAATAAAACATTTTCCCTTTCGTATCTGTATAGGACACAAGCCAATGTCACCGGTAATGTAGCCTATACATGAAGCAGTCAGGAAACTTTATTATTCATACCTACAGAATAAAGATATTATATATTGTTCTTCTTTTGTGTTGAGGTGTGTTTTACTCTCTGTTACAGATGACTTAATGTGCACGAGAAAGCTTGACCATGGAGGATCGGTAATTAAATAAAAAACGTTTCTATATCAGATATAACATTCCCATCATCTAAAATAATGGAACATTTGAAAAGCAAAGTTCCTCAAGGTTTATTAACATTGTTATTCATGAGTTCCTCTCACTTCCTCTCCCTTCCTTCCTGTCATCTTAAGTTACCTGCAGGTAACGATGAAGCCTACAGTATGATCACCTCAGTACCTGCTGCTGTTTGTCTCACTGGTGAGCTGCATCTGTATTATTGAAGGAGAACCACAACAAAAAACTAATTTGAACCGAACTCGAAAAATGGCTTGTGATACAGACTTATCACGTGTTATAAATAGAACTGGTGGACTAAACCACTGAACCCATCCTCTCTCTTGTTCTCACAGGTCCTGAGAAACCGAGCAGGCAAGCCTCTCAAAATGAGGATGTGAGTGAGACGTGAGACACATTGTGTAACACATTTGCTAAATGTTTGTATGTAGTAAAGATTTAATGAGCCTTATGGTTTCTTTCTCCTTTAGTCTGACATATACCACGTGTACTCCACCATCTCCGAGGAGCCACCCCCATCAGCCCTGAACGACATGGTGTACAGCACCCTGCAGGCCTATTGAACAGAAAGCAACAGCATGAAGGACTGCTTTTAAAACCATGTGCCATTTATTTTAGCTTTTCTTTAATTATTTTATAGTATCTTATGATCCATAGGGAAATTGAGATGTCTTTCCAAGCTAAAAGTATTAAATAAACAGTTAGTTTGATGTCTTCTCATCTGTCAGAGTGACCAGCTCTGTGACTGGGGGTTACCTCCCTGAGCCTGAGGCTGTATTTTGTGTGTACGTGTGTCAGTGTGCAGATATTTATCACTAACGATAGCATCACAACTTGCCAGATGCAGTCATGAAAAGTTACAGAGGTGTTGTTGAGATTCAGATGAACATTGAATTTGAAGAATGGTGTGGTCCGAGCAAGAAGGGCCAAGGGGTCATTTAGGATAGGAAGTGTGAAAGGGGGAAAACTAAAAAAATCTTCCTCATGGGCTAATAAACATTAATTGTGGATTGACAGGCGCACCTTGCAAACAAAGTTGCCCTTAGCAGCTCATTAGTATGCACACTGTATGTTAGTTAACAATATGTTGGTCCCACATACAGTCGAGCCTGTTTGATACAAAGCTATCTTTATCTGTTCATTTCACAATATATCTGTTTTTGTATATACTGTATATTCAGATTATAACAAAGTTGGTTTGTTTTCTTTTAATTATAGTCTGCTTGACTTCCTGCCTTTATTTTCTTCTTTAAATTGCTAGGTAAATAACCATAGACTGTATATATAAAGGGTAAATATCACAATATTTAAACCATGTACCTAAATTGATCCTTAAAATGTACATGTTTGCGTGTGAACCCACATTGAAATAAAAAAGGGTAAAAACTGAGTTTATTAAAAGCCGTATACATTGTATTAATTTGTCTGGATATTAAAAGTATGCAAATGGGAACAGTGGAAAAGTCATAATTGCATTGGTCCATCTTTCTCTTTAAACAATGGAGGCTCGGATACATCGGAGGATGCTAGATGCACATTTAGTTGGTCCATTATCTTGAAGAGAAATACATAATAATATTTATATCCCCTAGCCTAGTGTGTATGTTTGAGCTGTTTCAAAAAATAGTTTTCAGGTAAGACCTGCACTTACCTAGTGTATTTTATCTTTAGTCTTAATTTAGTTGTTTGAATTCAATTAAAAGAAAACAATGCAAAGGTTATTTCCTGAAACTAGGTCTCATGGTGTGTGTTCCTGTGGCTGTCTGTCAGTGTGATTCACTTCTGTTTCTCACTGTGGTTTTCCTGAGAACATGTTCTTCATAATGACAGTATGTCAAAGTCCATGTAGTCAAACAAAAAGTGAGGTCTTGAATTATTTTACATTTTATCACTCAGCTTCATCATGGCTGAACCTCTGTTGGTGGTCATCCTCATATGTAAGTAAAACAAATTCTTTATTTTATTGTTAATGATGGTGGTTGGTGAAATGTGGTTAAACACACATACAGGCACCTTTCATTTCATGTGAAAGAGACGAGTTGATATTTATTATTAGATAATTTTTCATTGGCTTCAGGATGTGATATGAAACTTTTACATCGAGTTGAAAGAAAAACAAGAATAACATGAGACTTTGCTATTTATTATCAAAGTCAAATTGTACCTTGTTAATATGTTTTTTCTTCAACAGATTCATTTTCTGAGATAAATGCACAAGGTCAGTCTCTCTTAATTTGACAAATTCTACACAAAATGTGTTATATAGATACTTTTCTAAATGTTGACAGTTATCCATTAGGAATTTAATTATCTCATGTGACAAACATATGTGTTCTTCTTAATTTCCAGATCTTCCTCCACCGACACTGACAGTGAATCCTCCAGTCATCACAGAGACAGACTCAGTCACTCTGCACTGTCAGACTCCACCCTCTGTTTCTGTGTCTCAGTGTTATTTTCGCACTGTGAGAGGAAAACCTGCCAAAGTATTCCCTTGTCGTCAGACTCTGACAGGAACTGAGCTGCTTCAGATGGCAGAGAGGAGTTCACCTGCTGAGGTTAACGTGACGTGTTTTTACCTTCGTGTGTATCCATCTCCAGACAGTGATGTGTCCTCCGTCATCATTCGAAGTGAGTTATCACCGTAGCTTTGGATATACAGCTCTGGAAGAAATTAAGAGACCACTGCAGCATTATCAGTATCTCTGGTTATGCTATGCATAGGTACAGTATGTGTGTTGAGTGAAATTACATTTTTATTTTATTCTATAAACTACTGACAACATTTCTAAGTGTTGGTATTTAACAGACACTGGAACGGAAAGGCTGCCATGTAGAGATTGAGATTTAAGAAACATTCGGATGGGTCTTTTAAGTTTTCCATGGCTGTACATGTTCATGTCTTCATACATTATGAGCACAGACATCAAAGTGTCTCTGGACATGGGGGTTGGGTCTGCAAAAGAAAAAGAGATAGAAGAGTGAGAAAAGGCAATTTATTCCATTGTTATCATTAGAACAAATTAAGATTAATGCAGTTTCAAGTTATTTAATCTTTGTATACTTTTCCAGCTCTTCTTCCACCGACTCTGACAGTGAATCCTCCAGTGATCACAGAGACAGACTCAGTCACTCTGCACTGTCAGACTCCACCTTCTGTTTCTGTGTCTCAGTGTTATTTTCGCACTGTGAGAGGAAAACCAGGCAAAAGCTTCCCTTGTCGTCAGACTCTGACAGGAACTGAGCTGCTTCAGATGGCAGAGAGGAGTTCACCTGCTGAGGTTAACCTGACGTGTTTTTACCTTCACGTGTATCCATCTCCAGAGAGTGATGTCTCCTCCGTCTTCATTCGAAGTGAGTTATCACTGTAGTTTTGAATATACAGCTCTGGAAGAAATTAAGAGACCACTGCAGCACTATCAGTATCTCTGGCTTTACTATTCATAGATACAGTATGTGTGTTGAGTGAAATGACATTTAAATGTTATTCTATAAACTACTGACAACATTTCTAAGTGTTGGTATTCAACAGACACTGGAATGGAAAGGCTGCCATATATGTAGAGATTGAGATAAGGAACATTTGGAGGGGTTTCTTCATTTTTCCAGAGATGTACATTTTCATGTCTTCATACATTATGAGCACAAACATCAAAGTGTCTCTGGACATGGGGTTTGGGTCTTCAAAAGACGAAGAGAAAGAAAAGTTTGAAAAGGCAACTTATTCCATTGTTATCATTAGAACTACCGGTAATTAAGATTAATGCAATTTCAGGTTATTTAATCTTTTTATACTTTTCCAGCTCTTCTTCCCCCGACACTGACAGTGAATCCTCCGGTGATCACAGAGACAGACTCAGTCACTCTGCACTGTCAGACTCCACCCTCTGTTTCTGTGTCTCAGTGTTATTTCTACACTTTAAGTGGAGGAGTCTTCCCTTGTCTGAAGACTCTGAAAGGAACTGAGCTGCTGGAGAAGTCACAGCAGAGATCACCTGCTGAAGTTCAAATGAAGTGTTTTTACACTTTAAAGCTTGGAGGGATACATTATCCATCTCCACACAGTGACACCTCCTCCATCACCGTACGCAGTGAGTGACTGATACCCCCACACTGACATTATCAAACGTTGATATAGTGTCAGCATATCATACATGTTTTTTAGACATTTTTGATATACAAATACATATTTAGAAAAAATAGTAACACATGACCGAGCCTATAGGGACATGTGTTATAACCTCAGTTAGGACATGTGAAGATTTAAAATTGAAATCCATATCACATTACAAAAGCACTTTCCTTATTTATTATTTAGAAAGATAACATGTGTTTTATTCAGCAGGTTTGCCTGTTACCAGTGTTTCCACTCCTGTGACTCCTCTTACATCAGGTAACACCATTTTAGATAATAATTCTTTCAGTGAAACCACCAGCAGGTTATTCTTCTGTTAAATATCATTTTGTTGGCCCTCTTTGTAAATAGTTGTTAAGTACATATCATGTGATATTCTCACTTTTCTCAACACTGAATATATTTATGAAAAAGTAAATATTCTAAATCTCAGTTGATGCAAATAGTGATGGTTGTTCATTGATTACCCAAATACTCTGTGAAGGATGTTTAGTTGCTGTATGTGTAATTAACCTTTCCTCTGTGAAGATTGTATTCCATATTGTTCAAGTAAAATAAAGCTATTATCCATTTATAATACAGCGATAATTGATTGTTGTTTCACCAGGTCGGACTGTTTACACGCCAAGTATTAGTGAAAGTTCCTCTTCTTCTCCCCTCACACAAGTGAAACCAACACCAGGTGACATAATGATTCCATGTTTCATACTAACTCTAAAACATTTTTGTGAAAAAGCTATCAATCAGCACATAGAAAACAATATGCTGCATTATATTTTTAACCCTGACAAAAGACAATATATTCTGTGATTGTAATGTTTGTTTGTTTTTGTGCCTCTCAAGAAACACTCACTAGTGTGAATCCAGCACCTGATCAAGATATAACAGGTAGACTAAAGATTCTTATTGTTGCATAAAAATGCTAACATGAATTGCATTGGATGTTTTAAAAATGTTCGGTCTGTTAATAGGTTCAAGTGTTACTATGGCTGGTATTAAAGATAGCTCTAACACTGCAGCCCCTCAGAAAACAGCATCAGGTGAGAATACTTATGTGTTTACCACTTCAACTCAGTGATTAAATAATGTTTAAAACCTTATTAACTCAGAAATGTACTTCAATTCACAGGACCTGTCTTCTTGATTTTGTTAATGCTATGACAGGCTAAACTGACACTTATATTGCTTCTCGTTTCAAAGCAGGACTATGGAAGTTTGTAGCAGTTGTGGCTGGATGTGGAGTTACTGTGGGAGTCATCTTGCTGGTTTCTGGAATTCTCTGTAACAACAGAAGAACTGGTGAGAACCTTGTCAATGTGTTTGTCTCATAGTCAGAACATGTTTGTTGTATACATGTCTTCAAAGCAAAAGTTCCCTTTAACAGGTTGTCTGATTATAAAACATTTGGTAGCTCTAGAATTGCATTTTCATAAGCATTGCAAGAAAAATGTGGGATTTGTTTAGTATGAGACAACCACTCAAAATATATACTCACATTCTGGTTCAAATCGTCTACACAGTTACACATTTGTGCTTGGTTCCTAAAAGCCGTTCGCAGTTTTTAGGACATTTTTAATGCAGCTTCACACTAAACAGAGATACTAAAATCACTATTGTGTGTTAGTGTGTCTCATCGGGTTGCACAGAACAACCATGTAAGACGTGCATCTCAAAGTAGCACTGAAGCACACTTGGTGGAGACCACCTACGCACTGAGACACAAATAATCTAATGTGCTTAAACCGGACACTCGTTTTCTCATGTGGCATGTTGTCTGAGAACATTTCACCTGTATCTTGTCAAGACCATGTCTCCAACCTATATAATCGATGTAACAGGTCACAAGTCAGGAGCACAACACGTGCATGGCCTCTACAATTCTTTCATTTCCACGGTCAAGCAGCAGCATCCTTCACAGGCTGGTTCAAGCTGCACAGCCATTGAGCCACTTCAGACCTTCCTGTCTTCACCACCAGGCCCAAGAGCGGCTCATGTCTGCCTTTCTCTAGTTCCCCTGGAGGTGGTGCTCTCAGCATTAAAGCATGAGCCATTCACTCTCATTGAAACCGTTCAGCTGAAATGGCTTTCTCTCAAGTCCTTATTTTTGTTGGCCTTTTTGTCAACCAATACAAAAAGGAAATCTCCCTATGAGGACCAAGCATGACAGGCCACCTTACAAAGTGAATATAGATAGTGGAGAGATGAACAATCCAAGTTAGTATTGAACGTGTGTAAAATATGGAAAGGAGCAAAAGTGTCTCAACCACTCTCTTATATTGTGTTTGATTTACGAAAAGTAAAATGTTGTCAAAGATGTACAATCATGACAACATTTTATTTATTTTTTGATATACATTTTTTTTCTATCTTACTAGCAGGTTCTGAGGAAGTGAAAGGCAGACAGGAGCATCACAATGAGAATGTAAGTCTGACATGAGGGGCAATAAACAATAAGCCATGTATTTAATCATGTACAGTACATCATAGTTGGTGTCTTCCTTATTCCAGATGGAGACATACCACATGTACGCAGCCATCACGGAGGAGCCGGCTGCATCGGACCTCAAGAGTATAATGTACAGCACCGTGCAGTCACACTGAAACGATACCATTCAGAGAGAGAAGCAGACAGCCTAAGAACTTTTACTGAAATTAACTTTGTGTACGACGTTCACTGGTATAATGCTGATCGAGTTTTAGAGTTTTTACAACTATTAAAGCTATGCAATTTTCAAGTTAAAGTCTATTATATACAAAGCTCAGCATTTGTTTCAAGCTGCATTTAAATGTTGCTTTTTTCAGTTCAAGATTAAAAAAGTATTTAGTTCAGCTTCTTATCTACAGCAAAGATCACTTCAGTCCAATTTTCTTTACTTTGAGACTGTTTTTAACAGGTTTTATTTGATCTGACTATGAACTTTACGTGCAATAAAATGTTTCTACAAATACTGTAAAAAGACATGTTGACACTTAATTAGCTTTTTTTTTTGCTCTTTATCATAAATGATGGCTGGACCTGAACCATTCTCTGATCTTTCTCATGCACGTTGAGCTTTTCTGAAATGTGTTCTGATTTAAAACAAGAAGAAAGCAAAAATAAAGGAGTTGAAATGATTTGGCTGTATTAAATTATTCACTTTTAATGTGGGAGATTGTGTAAATCAGAGAAGGCTTAGATGAGCGTAGAATTGGTCTGGATTTACAATGATGAAAAAGGAGAAAGCTATTGATGAGAAGTGTGTTATAATAGCTCATTTTGCTCTATGCACACTTTTCCCTAAGATGGTAATGACAACAGCAGAGAAGCAACATCAGTCCTGAGAGAGACTGTACAGTTCATTTGAAATCCAAGCAATATCTTTGGCATTTAACTTTGCCTTCATATGTTCAGGTTAATATATGTAAAAATAAGTTACATCATTATCTTTATGAGCAGAAATTAGAATGATGTGACGGCTAAATTGAATATATAATTGTATATATTAATAATAGAAACAAAAGTTAGGTCTTATATCAAAGAATATAACTTTGATCACTTGTTGCAATGCTACACAACTTAAAACAACTCCTTTAGTGAACACTTGCTTGGTTTTATATAACCACAGTGCACACACACACACACACACACACACACACACACACACACACACACACACACACACACACACACACACACACACACACACACAATAATGTGTGGTATATTAAATCTAAAAAAAACATAATAGGTATACTTCGAAGAAAGTAGCCTGTATGTTAATGTTATTCACATCTAAAGCTACCTGTGGCTTTCCTGAGCGTTTTGTTTGAGACTTTCACACAGTCAGACACACAAGCTTCATCATGGCTGGACGCCTGCTGTTTGTCATCGTCATGTGTAAGTTAAACCTCTTATTGATTTATTCATTATTAATGTAGGCTATTACAAACTTATGCACACAAGCAAATAACGCTTTTTGCAATTGCTAAACCACAGGTCAATTGTTTGTTTTGGTGGTGGCTTAGTGAGCAAACAGTTCGTAGAGCTTGAAAGCTTCAAAAAACGATTTATATTTAAGTAAATGTTTAAATGTTATATTTAATATGTGTTCTTGTTGCCTTTGTGGTTGCCCTGTGCCAGGGAGGAAAAAACACTGGCTCAAATGTTATGCTTTTAAAACTTTGTTGAAGTCATTCATTTGTTACCTTTCTCACTTGCTAATTCTTTTTTCAACAGATTCATTTCAAATGTCTCAAGCACAAGGTCAGTCTCTAATCAAATGTCTTTAATGTCCAGGTTTTTGGGTATTCATTTGACTAATCTTATAAACTATATTTTTCTCCATCAACTTCTTTGAATAATTGTTCCCCATTAGGAATACTTTTATATCAATGTAATTATTCAGTATTTTAAAGCATTTGGTTTCATTGTCTTATCGCAGCTTTTGAGTGATATAATTGAACATATTTCCTGCACGATTTCCAGCTCTTCTTCCACCGACACTGACAGTGAATCGTCCGGTGATCACAGAGACAGACTCAGTCACTCTGCACTGTCAGACTCCACCCTCTGTTTCTGTGTCTCAGTGTTATTTTCGCACTGTGAGAGGAAAACCAGGAAAAGTCTTCCCTTGTCGTCAGACTCTGACAGGAACTAAGCTGCTTCAGATGGCACAGAGGAGTTCACCTGCCGAGGTTAACGTGACGTGTTTTTACCTTCGTGTGTATCCATCTCCAGAGAGTGATGTGTCCTCCGTCATCATTCGAAGTGAGTTAAACTGTAGCTTTGGATATACAGCTCTGGAAGAAATTAAGAGACCACTGCAGCATATCAGTATCTCTGGTTTTGCTATTCAAAGGTAGTAAAATTCATTGAGTGAAATTACATTTTTATTTTATTCTTAAAATACTGACAACATTTATAAGTGTTGGGATTCAACAGACACTGGAATGTAAAGGCTGCCATGTATTAATTTAATTTTTAATCTTTGTATACTTTTCCAGCTCTTCGTCCACCGACACTGACAGTGAATCCTCCGGTGATCACAGTGACAGACTCAATCACTCTGCACTGTCAGACTCCACCCTCTGTTTCTGTGTCATTTCTACACTTTAAGTGGAGGAACTAGATTCTTCCCCTCGTCTGAAGACTCTGACAGGAACTGAGCTGCTAGAGATGTCACAGCAGAGTTCACCTGCTGAGGTTGAAATTACGTGTTTTTACACCGTAAAGCTTGGAGGGAAAACATGATCTATCTCCACACAGTGACACGTCTTCCATCACCGTACACAGTGAGTGACTCCTCTACAATAAATAATAAAAGTGGCATGGTCTGATATCTCAGTTGTGAACTTGCTTACAATGGTTACACACAAAAAGCAAATAGAGGAAAACTGATTCAACATTGATTTGTTCTTTGATTTGTTTTGATCGAATTAATCAAATTCTCAATAATTTACGCTGACTTTTTAGAAAATGTTTTGATATTCATAATTTTTTTGTTTTCCATTAATGGTATAACTCTCACTTCTGCAGGTAGTTGGACCTCTGCTGCCCCAACTCTTTTGAATCCAGCATCTGGTGATGAGGTTATAGGTATAGTTTCTTTTCTTATAGTGCATCAAAGTGCCAAACTGATTTGCTAGGATTTTTTATAAATGCTTTCCACAATTTACATACTAAATCTGTTGGAGTCATGTCACTCATTCTCCTTTGAAATCAGGTGAACAGGAAGCACATCATTGCAGCTGCATATTGTTAATGAGATAAACAGAATGCAATTTTATTTGTAATCATGTACCATCCTATGTGCAAAATATCAATATTGGAGATTATATATATTCAAAAGAAAGAAGTAATGTGTGTCAAGTGTAAATCTCCTCTCTCAAAAAAGGTTCATCTTAATCTTAATGCAGGGAAGATGACATTGATGGTTGGAGCAGCTGTGACGGTGGGAGTCGTCTTGCTTGGATTGGCACTTCTCCTTACTAAAAGCACGAGTGGGAAGAGTACAAATAATGACCTCTGGAACTTTTGAAAACCCAGCTTTAGATGTAGGAAATATTTGATTTACCCTTTTGAAACCAGCCTTACATGGTACAACACCTTGGGTTCACGTTGAACAAAAGCAGAACAAAAAGAAAGTTCACATTCATTTCAAATACAATTTCTAATAATTGTTTTTCATTTTCTAGAAAACTGCATTTCCAAAAGGTAAGAATTCATATTTCTCAGGTGCTATCAGTTACACTTCAATGAATACCAGTATTTATGTTTGTTTCCATTATGGCTCTGGTTTATGGTCATACCTTCAGACATTCATTCAGAGCGCCTCTGAGCTGCTCCCCTGCACGGAAACATTTGGCATTACGGTTTCTTTTTCATTCTTAAGGAGTCTCAGCAGCAGTGATCATTCTGCTGGGAAAACTAACACTCTAGCATATAAATGATATCTTTGCAAACATAATTCAGAAATCACACTAGATCTCTGAATCAACAAAATGAATACAAAGCATAAGAATAAGGTTGAGGTGGTGGAGCAAGCTGCAACAGATGCTAAATGTTTAGGGAGAGAAATTCAGTATTTAAATGTACTAATGCATACTGTGCTTTTGAATTCCTTTGTATTCCTTCTGAAAACAAATGTTGTTTTTCCATTTAGACCAAAAGCAAACATCAGTGGTTTGCAGGGTGATTATGATGAGACCTACAGTGCTGTCACCTATACAGTAAATGCAACAGTGGTGAGCGGCTTTTCTCTTCCTGTTTGAAGTATGGAGTTATTAGCCACTTGGCGTGGGGCAAGTTCTGCTAAATGCTTCAGAATGAAACATGAGGCATGGAAAATACGTGCAAGTACACAGATTAAAATTAGCATTTTCAGGTGCAAACAAAGTTTTTATTGTAGTGTATCAGAAAATAAACACCTTTATATGTTGAAAAATGCATAATGATGACTGACCTCCAAACTTTACTGAGGGCAGTTAATGCTTGTCTGTTTCTTTCTTTTCATAGATAGATAGAATCGGAGGGAGGAACCCCTCTTTAATGGTCACACATGCAGAGCACACAGCATGACATTTCTTCTCTGCTTTTAACCCATCCTAGTACTAGGAGCAGTGGGCAGCTAGGGGGGAAGGGGGGTGTCCGGTGCCTTGCTCAAGGGCACCACGGCAGGGCCCAGGAGGTGAACTGGGACCTCTCCGCAGTCCACACTCCGACCATATTTAGGTCTGGTTGGGGACTTCAACCGGCGACACTACGGCTCACAGCCCAAGCCCCTACTGACTGAGCCACTGCCGGACGACAGAGTGACGACAGCAGAGAAGCTACATCAGTCCTGAGAGAGACCGCGCACAGCCATTAAAGTTAATTAGAAGTCTGAACCTTTTCTTTTTCTGCATTTATTTGTGAATTGTTGTTACCTTAATTTTAGATCATTATGTCCAGGTACAGACATGAGTATGTCATGTTTCCTTTGTGCAATGCTTCAAATTAAAAAAGAGATTAACCATGATTATGAAGTCTCCTTCATTTCAGAAGTCGTAGATCAGGGTTATTTTAATTTGTTCACATCTTAAACACAAACATGCACAAAAGGAGTCAGTCATACATGCATAATGTGAATGGGATACAATCAAGGAGAACATCAATAACACATGTTTGTAAAAAACACATTTTATAGGATGATTAAAAAATATGAATTACAGTACACCAATGAGACATTTTATAATGGTCTGACAAACATGTTTACTTTGACACTCAGTCAGTGAAGACTTGTGTATACTTTGTGTTTTATATATACACACACACACACAGGAACTTCACAGTGGCTCTTTATCAACCAAACAACACATACTCATCTTTCTTAAGCACTGAGACTCTTGTGTGGTAGTGTCACTCCAAAAATGAAAACCATATAGTGTTGTCACGATACCAACATTTTGGTTTCGATACCGATACCAAGTCAAGAATTGCGATTCCGATTCTTTTTCGATACTTTTCTTTAAAAAAGGGAAACAGTCTTAAATGTAATTATTGTGCTTTATTTCACACCAGAACCAGAACCATAACACAAACTTTTAAACAATGAGAACAATAAACAAAATAAATGACAATA